TCACGTTTTCCTCCAGATGGATTGGGTGTTCCAAGTGGAGAGTGACGCGAGAGCTTGTACCTCTAAGTTTTAATAGTGGCATGGTACACTTATAATTTGCTCCACCAAGATTGCCACGAGTATTTCTCATCTCTTAAAGTGTTTATGATCGAGTTCCAATTTGTATCATCGTTTGAACATCGCTTCAGAACTTCAAGGCAGAGATGACCGCAAATAGGAGGGTCTTCAAACTCCTGTACTCGCATATCATTATAAAGCAAATCACGCTCACCTAAATACTTTACAAGTTCAATTGGTGGTGGAGCGTTGCCAAATGAATCGAAATACAGCTTTTTACCATTACGCATTTTGATATAACAGGTCCAGTGTGTACCATTCGAATCCAAGTCACCGAGATTCAAAATACCACATTCCATTTCCCATGGGGATTCTGGCAAAACTTCACGCATGAAAACACCTCGAAATCCTTTCAATCCCAACACTTTGGCCCATCGTTCGAGGTCACCAAGGGTTAAGGGGCTTATCCGTTTTTTTGTAATAGTAAAGCATCCAGTTTCCTGTTGATACATCTTTTCAAACCAGCGCCCTTAGGATCCTTGTCTATTATCGTGTCCAACTCATTGTCAATCAAATGCTTCAACCATGGAATGAACCTTTCCTTCAGCATCGGTGCTAGGTGTCTTCTGACAACAGGTGAGATGAAACGTTTTCCACCAGGAACAGCACCCTCCACAAATTCCAAAACTTCTTTCAGGAGGCCTCCCTGTTTATTTTTCAATAGCTGGTCGTAGCTGAGGTTCAGCCGAATGCCTGTTTGGTTTCGTCTCGCTTTCTCAATAGCCTTATGCTGGACACTGTCTAACAGGATATGGTCCGTTCCACTACGACCTATGTCGTCACTCGTCAGTCCAATTATAGCACTTCTCCGTTTCTTATAGGCGATACGAAGCTTACGTTTCTGCCCTTCAGACAGACGAATGGTGTGCCTGTGCAATTCACTCATGTTGTGCTTATATCACTATAAGTACTCTTATTATAAACTCGAAATGGTATACATATTTTATTGTGCCAAGTGTAAAAGGAAAAACGCTTCGGCTGATGTGGAACGTATCAAGACGGTTACGAACAAGTGGCGGTTAAGAGGTCGATGTGTCGAGTGCTTACGCAAGAAGAGCACATTCACAAAAGCACTTGTACCGGGAATCACTGATGTCAAATTTGAAGAGGCACGAGAGCTACATCGACCAGTAACAAAAAAGTTTCCAAAACGTAAAATCGTCACTCTCTACATAGACGACCTGTGGGCAGCTGACTTGGTTATAATGGACAAGTTCTTCCGGGAAAACGATGGATATAAATATATGCTAAATGTGATTGATACATTTTCCAAGTATGCATGGTCTGAACCATTACTCAGGAAGAGTGGTATCGAAGTGACAAACGCGTTTGAAGCCATCATACGAAGAGCTAAGGGCAATGGTCACAAAGCACCTAACCTATTACACACTGATAAGGGTAGAGAGTTTGTCAACAAGGATTTTAAATGTCTTCTCGCCAAACATGGTATAAAGATGTATCATACTGAGAATGAAGAAAAGAGCTCCATAGTTGAAAGGTTCAATCGCACACTCAATGAACGAATGAAAGTGCATTTTGAAGCTAGGGGCTCATTCCGTTGGATAGACATACTGCAGGGTCTGTTGAGTAAGTACAACACAAGTGTACACTCCACCATTCACATGAGGCCGGTCGATGTGACTGTGAAAGTCGAACCAGAAATTCGTAGCTTGTACCTCGATCAATTTCGATCAGTTAAACGTCCACGACCTAAACTGAGAGTTGGCGATCGAGTGAGAATAGTAGCAAAGAAAGATACGTTTGCCAACAAGTACGCTCGAAACTGGCGAACAGAGATTTTCACAATATCTCACATTCAGTCTACAGCACCGGTAACATACAGAATCATCGATGGTGAAGGAGAAGAGATCCTGGGTTCGTTTTATGAAAAGGAATTGCAAAAGAGTAATTTCTAATGGTTTATTGAATAGTGACCCCAGGGGAGGGAATGGATTCCATCATCTAAAATGTATCGTTTATCATCTTGGTTCGACAACACTACTTTATTGAGTGCTATGGCATAGAGGTCGTGACTGAAACTTCTTATCATATTTATGGTTTTAGTGGTTTCCAAACCATCAAACAAACATTTTTTGTAGTCGTCAAATGTTATTTCCTTCTCGGTGACTGACTTTTTGACTCCTTTTGACTTTTTGCATACACTACCATCCTCGACTTCATGAGCATACATCTTAGATCTAAGAGCAATCTGTTCTCGCATAATCCTCCCACTCAGTTCATCTTTCATTTTACCAAGGACCTTCTTATTGACTCTAGGCATCCCATACGGATTGTTCTCAGGGTAGTCACTTGTATCAAAGTAATCTATCATGGCTTTCATATCCTGGTAAAAGTCAGAGGTGGCAATGGCATATTTCAAGGAATCGGTGTCTGTATATTGCAATCGTGCTTTGTCACCATACTTCAATTTAATCACATTATAGTGAAAATCGTAAATTAGAGTCTTTGAAACATCCAATACGCTCATACCAACATATATAGGTTTATTGAACAGGAGTTTTGTCCTTTTCATGTGCACAGCAGAGAGGTTTTCAGCAAATATTGTACGATCCTTGAATGTAGGTTGAGCAATCCATTTTACAATTTGTTTTTCCTTTGTCGCCAATCGCACATCCACTCTGTTACGTATGTTCTCCATTGTCTTCCCAAACACACCATTATTCATCAGTTTGTAAAACTCCTTTTCGAAATCGTTCTTTGCCTGAGTTCTCAGTTTTGTATTCAGGTCAATATAAGAGGCTATCCAGTTTGATTGCTTAAAGGAAATGGCTCTATGGATCTTCTTCAGTTTCAATCCAAGCTTGAGGTACAGCTTGAGATTCCTGTAATGAACAACATACTTCTCTTTGTCATAAAGTGTTGTCAATAGTTTAACCTCTTTTCCTCCTGGTGGTACTCTCTGCTCTGGGGCAAGAGGAAGATCAGAATGCAAGTCGTGGATATCTTTAGGATATTCCAAATCCACTTCAAGTATATAGCCTGTATCGGCATCGTCAGGGATTTCAGTGACATCGATGTTTGTATCACACCATTTGAAATCTCCGTATGGCATATGTTGAACCATTGCCCACCCATATAGGTTATTCGCATCCAAGTACACCAGGTACTCAGTTGGTTTGCTCGAATCGTAATCATTCATGTAGGGATTATTGGCTTTAGCATGTCGGTTAGAACTTTGCGATACACCACCTCTAATTCCCTTCTCAATCATAAGTAGCATATCATAATCTGAAATAAGTTCCAGTTCAACGTTTGTCGTTTTTAGCATAGCACTCCAAGCCAGACCAGGTGTTGTGAAAAACCATGCAGGATCTAGTTTGTACGTTGACATACACACATTTCGGAAGTTCTCCATAACGTCAGCTAGTAGGAGGACATCTGATTTGTTGTACATCAATGTGTACTCTTTCATATCCTTCATTTTAAATGAATCCCACACTCTTTTAGCATGTTCATAATCTTTAGGGTCAACATCTGTTTTAGTGAGTATGTTGTAGAATTCTTCCTGCTTAGGTAGATGAGTTAGCTCATATTTGTCCTCACTGTCCATGTAATCATATGGGTAAATACCTTTTCTCAAAACCAGGTTCAACTCGGATTCATTGAAGTATTTAGCAGTGTGTGTAAACTGATCTTTCTGAAGATTTTTGGTGAGTGCATCAAGGATACTGGACATAAACTTGAACGAATCCAAGAACCTCAGTTCGATCATGTTCTGCCTTTTAACTGTGTATGATATGTAACGTTCTTCATTGTTTGGGATCACCTCTATTTCTTCATCATTCATACCCAGCATTTTAATAAACAAATGTGTGTCGTAGCCGAGAGGTTGTGAATGAAGACAGGAATAAACTTGGGTTTCCTGTACAGAATGTTGCATTTGTTGTGTGCAACTCCTCTGAATTGTCCTGTCAAATGGTCATGATCAAGGACCCTATCATCTTCTAAAGGTTTTTCACAAATATGGCATGTTGTTGAGTTTGATATAATACGCTGATCATCTACCGTTAAATCCATAGGTTTGATAGCCTCACTAGAATACAACTGTCTTATTTTTTCAGACTCCATCTCAAGTTGTTCCACAAAGACCCTTCCAGCATCTGCACCAAAATATGTGACAGGAGGTTTATAGTCTCCATCTTTGGAAACGATGTAATATGCAAAACTCATAGCCAAGTGTTTTTGGTAGCTTTGTGTTTGTTCAGTTTTGATGGTTCTGTTAGACTCAAGAAGACATTCAAAGTCTGCATACACCACGAACGGGACTCGCATTGACTTGTTGAAATCATTAAACTTGATGACCGTCCCTTCTTCTGGAAGATTTATTTTTATACTTTCATGTCTGCTGCAATCCTCTCTATGTCTGTCCAAACCTTCTTTTGATCCAAAGTGTAACAGACAACGTTTACACAACCATAACATATGATCATGTTTTGATATCTGTGATTGTACAAGTCTAGATAGATTCTTTATGTAACAATAATGGTTTGTGTCTGCAGACTTCAAGTAGAGCAGGTCTACGTGTCTTTCCATCTCCTCGTTAGTGATTCTGAGAGGAACAACTGAATTTTCAATTCCGTGGAGAGTGTAAACATTGACAGAGATATTGGCACGTTTTTCGAACTTTGTAATGTCATCTAATTTCATGGGAAACTCAATGTCTTTGAAAACATCATCAAGTTCATGTTCATAAGCTCTATACATACTCACTCTATTAACATTATCCTTCGCGGGGTGTAAAGCTGCAAGGATAGACCACAGGAAACATTTCTGATCATTATTATTTATGTTTATCACTGCTTTCTTGGATTCTATCTTCTTCGGAAGTTTCATGTAACTAGAGCCCTTAAGAGGTGTGTATTTATTTATTCTGATTTCCAAATCAATGACCTTCATCAAAGTCCAATTAGAGCCAGTTGCTTGGAAGTCTTCAATCTCTGCAAGTATCTTTGCCTTTGCATCATTGTAATATTCAGAGATGTCTGTTGTTGGATACACAATTTTATTAGTAGTCTTAAAATTCATTAGTTGTTTTATTTTCTTGTCTTGAGCTACTCTCTGAAATTCAGCATGAAAGACAAAGTTGACTTTTATATTGCTTTCCACGACCATTTCTTCAATTTTTTCTTCAACCAAATCTGTGCACATATTCAAAAACAAAGTTGGATCCTTGACATTAGTCTTGTTGTCGATAACAAAAGTTCTAAGT